TTTTTAATATTTATTTTGATTTAATTATTAAAATATAATTCATATCTTTAAATTTATATGTTATTTAATTTTATATAATAAAATAATAATTTTTTAATAAATGTATTATATAATAAATTTTAAAAAAAAGTGTATTAATCGTGCCTTTCTGTGTTTTTCTTAGTTAATGTTTTAATTTCATGACTTCTTCGGATATCTCATATATTGCAAAACGTATCTGTACTTCCTTTAATAAACTTTTCTTTTGTTCATAAAAAAGAAATGTTTGTGAAGGCTTCACAAAACTTCAGCCATATTTTCTATCTAAAAAATCAGTAAATATAGCAGAAGCTAGCAGAAGCAGTTACGAACTACTTATAATCTGGCTAAATTAATATATATAGTTATATATAAATCCCTTTTTCTCAGAAAAATACAAATCAATTGTCAGCATCCTGCATGTTTACTCAGAGAGAATGCTGGATATTAGCATTGGCTTCGAGATGCGAGGACTTGCCAACTGCCAATATCATAGAAATGGGGGCTCATCAAAATCCACAAACTGCAAGATTACCAAATAGAAGAAAATTAAGCTGAGAGTTAGACTTTGAGATATCCATATATAGGGATGTCATGACTCCTGAGGACGTATACAATTCCTCGTGAATCACTTAGTCCCAGCATGCATGACTTGACATGCATTAACCATATATGGACTTGGTGTTAACAAAAAGGAAAACAATAAAAAGTAGAGAAATTTAATCATATACCTCGTTAAGAATGGCCTGTATGTGAAAGTCATCATCCAATAAACTGTAACTCATTTCCAAGGGTGCTGTATTTTCCCATTGATTCACAGATTGCTGCATAAACTTGGTTCCATTGTCACTTACTGAACCTTCAGCAGCTAGCTTTTGTATATGATCCCTAACATGCTCAATAACTAACCCTTTATAATTTGATCTGCCTCCACCGTGGAAATCAACAAAAGCCTGTTGGGAAGCAGAATCTCCACTAGAAGGATACAATGGCTCGAAAGTACTTTCTATTATTGGTAATGTTTGTCCACTTTGTTTCTTTGCATGAGTCCCTTGATTCCATGGTCCCATATTTTGTTCTCGTTCCAGTTTTCTTTTGCAAGTTCTATGGATTGAGTCGAAACTGTTGTTGCTTTGTTGATTTGCTCTCTCCTTATTCAGATGCATCCTATATTTCTGTAAGAGAAAATAGTAAAAAAATTAAAGGTTAGTTTCTCCCTTATGTTTCTGCAATTAAAAACTTGAAACTCTAAGTTTATAAGTTTAATCTTCAAATTCGAAAGGACTATCATCACCTGTAGATGACTCGAGACACTTTGTCGGCTAATTCCCTCTACATTCATGATTCTATGTATTTCCTTTGGCTTTGCATCTGAAAATTGAAAATCAAACAATGATCAAATAACTATATTATCAAAGAAAGAATACAGTGACAGCTCATGACTTACTTTCCCCGAGTGCCTGCACAGCAGCTACGAATATGTTATGGAGCTCCTTCGTCCATAAAACCCTCGGTTTCCTTTGGAACGCATCATCTTCTGATGCAGAACTATCGAATGTTTGAATGTTGGCTTCCTCCTCATCACCTTTATTAATTTTTGGCTCGAGTTGTTTACTAATCCGCCCTGAATCTTGCATCCTTTTCCTGAAAACATATTGCCATAAAATCTGAATTTCCTGAATTCGAACCGGTTTTAACATGTAGTTCACAACCCCATATTTCATGCTCTTCATTACGCTGCTTATTCTGTCATCAGCAGAAACAACTACAACATCGAAAACAGCAAATTAATAAAAACACAATGGATTAATTAATCCCAAATATATTGCATTATTAGAAAACATTAAGAAAAACTTACTAATTACAGGTATGTCCAAATGATTTCCTATGATTTCCAGAAGCCGAAAAGCATCAAAATCAAGCCTGACAGTATTAGTAATCGCAATATCAAACTTGTTTCTGTTTTCTCTCAATATCTTGAGTGCTTCCCCTGCCTCAGTGGTTGCCGTAACTGAAAATCAGAAAGAATTTTTCAAAAGCCATATTAAGGTTTTCAGTTTTCTTGATATCAGAAAACCCAACAAAATTATTAGCCCTATACACGCCACGGTCGGCCCATACACAAGTTAGTTAGAGGGTCAAGTACTGTTAAATTCAATTTTCCGACAAGTTTCTTTTCACACAAGTTTCTTCTTGTGTCTTAAAATAAACTTCTAGAAACAAAACACATGTAATCAAGAAAAGTTCAGAAAAGCAATCAAACTTGTTTTACGAACATCATTGAAACCCTAACCCAGGATTTCTACATACTTCATCAGCATAATCGTAGGCATATATAGCAGACATAAGCAAACTAAATATATCAGAAGAAGAAAAAATCTGATGGAAAAAAAGAAAGAGATATGGGATATACGTACGTACCTTCATATTTGCACCTTCGCAGTAGAGAAACTAGATACTTCAAGCAGAAAGCATTGACATCGATAGCAAGAACTTGCATGCCTTCGGCACTAAACTCGTAGGCATTGCCATCTTGGGGCAGAGGTGGGGTGTTATTCCATTGTTTCTGATGATGATTAATGGCCTCAGACATGTTATAGAGCTCGAATTCTAGATTCTGGAGGAGATTGTTTTTCCAAGAAAAATCTTGCAGAATTAAAGACGAGGATATTAGGTTATAATATGGGGAGCACGAGATGCATATATTGACATGGTAATTAAAGCAATTATGGTAAGTAAATCGGCATTCCAATTTCGAACGGGAGATGAAATAATATTATGAGCATGGATGTTTCTAAATTTTGGGGCGATTTTCTTAAAATATCAATCAGCTCCTCATGCTTTTTTAATTTTTAAATAGAACCCTTTTGAACTAAACTATATTTTGCATGTAAGTCCTGGAACTATTTTTTCTGGCAAGTAAGCTTCTTAACTTCTCAGGATGAGCAAAATAGTCCAAATTAAGTTAATAAAGCTCTGTACCTAGGGTTGCAGATCCATGATATGTCCAGGGTAAGGGAAATTTCTTATTCATTTTTTTTTCCTTTTCTAGCATTTTGAAATTAGTTTAGGTAAATTAACTTTTTTATGTTTTAAACTCTTTTTTTAAAATGTTTTCTTTTTTTAATCTTTTTAAAAATTAAGGTAGGACTATCTCAACTTTAAATCTTTTTATTTAGCTCAAATTTACTATTGAGATTAAAGTTTGTAATTGTATGGCATCTTTTTTTTTTTTTTTGGCCACAATAACACAAAGGACTTATTTGTTAAAAATAATTTCGAAGTTACATGCAAAATAGAAATTGTATTGTATAGCTTCACATGGCATTAAATTGCATAACTTACGAGAATGTAAACTTGAGTGGGAATGATACCTATGCTCCACTCTAATAATTTAAACCTTTAATTAATAAAACTTATCTCTTCATAAGTTACATCTTTAAATTTTATGAATTATTTCTTAATTTTTTTTCACTTAAATATTACTAATTTGCTTTTGTTCAAATAATAAAAAGAAAAAAACCTTAGTGGCAACGAAAATGAAGTCATTCAGGAGCTTAATTAAAAAAAAAAAAGAAGAAGTTAACTCTAAGGTCCCATCATACCATCATCACAAAGAAAAATAAAATTCTTTCTAAAAAGAAAAACCCTAAAATCGTACCGAGTGTAACCCATTGATTCACGTCGCTCATCCCAAACTCGTCTCAACTCGGTCTATAAATAGCCCTCTTCCCGCCAATTCTGCGTTTAGACTCAATGATCCTCTTTTCTCAAAACCCTAAAACTCGTTTCAGTTCCTTAACCCGAACTCGTCTTCTACGCAAATTGCTCACTCAGAATCCCTAATCTCGGTAGAAAATCACAAACCAGAGGCCGGCGACCGGTTGATTCCGGTTTTCTCTTTCCTCGATGGAAGAACCGCGTCGTAAACGGCCTAAAATCGAGAGGTCTGTACATCTTCATATACACATGTGCTCATAGTCATCCGATCTCACTTTTACTTTGATTTTTCGTATCACTTCTGGTGGTTTGTGTAGTTTTGTATCTAATTATTCTATTCGCTGGAATAAAGTGGGCAAAATAATGAAATTTTAGGAGATAAGTAGCAAAATTTTGAAGTTTGGAGATATTTTAACATCATGGAGCATCATTTTGATTTTGATTTTATTTCGTTTTCATGGTGTTTATTAGGCTTCAGTTTAGTTACTGTTTGAAATTAGCTTTCATTTTTCTTTAGAATCTGTTTGGTTGATGAGAAAATGTGAAAAAATATAGTAAAGTTATGGATATGAGAATTGTTAGTCACTCGGGACATGAGAAAGGATAATTGAGAAGCAATTTTTTTGATTTGTTTGTGGATTGACATGTTTGAATAGGTGCCATTTGGTGAGCTTTAAATGGTTTAATTTTTAATGATTGGGACGCAGAGGAAAATGGATACCTCATTTACAGAAGAATAGTCCATGAGCTTTATAATAATTTATCCTTTAAAATAACTTGGCGTTTTATTACTTCTTTTTTAAAACAAATCTGATATCCGAATGGTTTAGTGTTCTGTATTTTATATTTTTTGTGAAAATCATGTATGGTATGAATGATTTTTTTCATTTGTCTTTCAGGGGTGCTGATGATTACCTTCCTGGCAATATAACTGAAATTGAGCTCAATAACTTCATGACATTTCATCATGTGATTTGCAAGCCAGGAACACGACTGAACCTAGTAATTGGGCCAAATGGTTCTGGTAAGAGCTCTCTTGTATGTGCTATTGCACTCTGTCTTGGTGGTGAGCCTCAGGTTAGTTAAAGTAATCATTGTTGATTGAGATAGCTTGTGTCTTTATAGACTATAAAGATGGGTATGTTGCTTTCTGCAGTTGCTTGGAAGGGCAACTAGTATTGGAGCATATGTAAAGCGTGGTGAGCATGCTGGGTTCATCAAAATTTCCTTACGAGGTCATGCCGAAGGGGAGAGGATTACAATTATGCGTAAAATAGATACACAGAACAAGTCTGAGTGGTTATACAACGGTTAGAATTTACCTCTTGACATAGCAACACAGGCATTTCATTTCATCAAATGTATTGGTTCCTTTGGTAAATTATGGAATTTGTTATTTGTCTTGATTAGTTTCATTTAGATGGAAATCATAAGGCTGAGAAAGTCAAATGCAGTGATTCATTGGCCTATCCATGGGATCTCAATAAATTTGTGATTTTACTTAATGTTTCTAATAAAAAAAGGACCCTGTAAAGGAAGCACATTTAGTTTTCCAATTACCCCTCATATTTAATAAAATTTTATTTTTATTCTTCTTTCTTCTCTATTTGGGTGTGCATGACTCATGTTACCAAAGGAAAGAAATTAGCTAGCCCCATTTATGGGTGCAATCCAGAGATTATTCTTCTTGGAGAAGGGGTATAGAATACGAGAACAAGAAGTAAAATAAAAACAATGCCAAAAAATGTAAAATAAAAAAGAAAGTAAACGAGTGAAATAGTTTTAATTTATTTGATGATTTGTTAATTTCAGGAAAAGTTGTGCCTAAAAAGGAAGTGTTGGCAGTCATCCAAAAATTCAATATCCAAGTCAACAATTTGACTCAGGTAAGTCTTATGACTCAACAATTGGGAGATTGTTCTGTTGCATTTACTTTTTTGAATGAATTAGTATGCATACTTGATGCCTCATATGGACCGCTGATTTATTTATTCATGCTATTGTCTACGGAGGCCATTATCTTTGAACCTACCACTGCCTAGCAACTGGGTAGTTATGTTGTTAGTTGTACTCTATAGCTTAATATATTTTGTTTTGTTTTCATTTTAGAACTTTGAACATTGGCATCTGACCAAATGCAAGATAGTCTTTGAGACTAAGACTAATAAATAAGTAAAATATGGTCATTGTAAAAGTGCTTAGTTGCTTCACTCTCAAACTAGATAATTAAGAAAAGCAGTGTAGAAGTTTCTAAAATTAACAGCAAAATAACAGTGGAACTGTTTCTTTCTCATCATATAGGGTATCAACCAATCATGGCCCTCTTAATGTATCTTAGGAGTTAGGAGTGAGGACGGAAGAATTGCTGCTTGTATGTGAAACACTAAGCTGCTGTATCTAAAATTAACACATGAGAACAATGTAACTCTTTCTTTAATCCAATCTTGTTCCTAATGGTGAATGTCAACAGATACATAGTGACTCCTTTGCTCCCTCGGTTGGTTTTAATAGTAATCTTGTTCTATATTTGTTTTCTTCCTTCTTTTACTTATCTTTGTGTGTGTTCTAAATGTTGGATTTGGGGAGCATAGTTCCTACCCCAGGACAGAGTTTGTGAATTTGCCAAGCTAACTCCTGTGCAACTCCTAGAGGAGACTGAAAAAGCAGTTGGTGATCCTAAGCTTCCAGTGCAACATCATGCACTTGTTGACAAAAGTCGTGAACTGAAGAAATATCAACAGGTTGCCTTTGGAGCTTTGTAGTTTTCTGGAGATATTCTAGTTGTTTCATAAGGCTTGACACTCTATTTCTGAATAATGTGTTTTAGGCTGTTGGAAGAAATGGAGTAACTTTGAAGCAACTCATGGCCCTTAATGCTGAACAGGAAAAAGATGTTGAACGTGTCCGTCAAAGAGAAGAACTTCTAGAAAAGGTTTGCTCCTGGTTTTTTAGTAAGTTAAAAATCTGATACATCATGACCCCTTTGTGCTGTCAATTTTAGGTTGAATCCATGAAGAAGAAGCTACCTTGGCTGAAGTATGATATGAAGAAGGCTGAATACATGGAAGCCAAGAAGCAGGAGAAGGATGAAAAAAAGAAGTTGGATCAAGCTGCAATGGCTTTAAATGAACTTAAGGCACCTATTGAGTATGATCACTTAGTTTTGCTGATTATGTTAAGAATTAAAGTACACATTTCCTTGCGCTTTCCCTTTAAAGGCATTGATTGCTTCAAAAGCAATGGTGATAATTCTTTTGAAAAAAAAAGGTTGTATATATGTATATATTTATTTATATTATGTTGGTTCCTGTTATTTTTTTTTTCACAAAAAGGTCTAGTTTACAGGTTTGTTAAAGCCAAGATTGGTTGGATGGCAAGTACCCTGTTTCTTAACATAGAAATCTTATCTTCATTAGTCTATTTTATGAGTTGATTTTCATTATGATATCTCTTCCCTTTTTAGTTATTGTAAAAGGTTGTTTTTATTATTATTATTATTATTTTATTTCTCTTGAGCATGGAAAAAATGCATTCAGTAAATTGTTGGATGCAGAAAATTAAAGGAGGAGAAAGCTCTGCTGAAGCGTAACTGTAAAGAGATTAGTGCGCTAATGGATGCCAACATCAAGAGACGCACAGATCTTCTGCTCAGAGAAAATCAATGGGTGTGTTGGACTTGTAGTTTCTCTTTTACTGTTTCTTTTCATTATATTTTACCTAATGATATGGCTGGATGTAACTTTTATATTGCTTGAATGATTTCTTTTACATTCAGGCAGTGAAAGTACAGGGGAAATATAAAGAGATGGAAGATTTGAGGAGACAAGAAGAATCTCGTCAACAAAGAATTTTAAAAGCTAAAGAGGAGCTTGCTGCTGCTGAACAAAACCTAAAAAATTTGCCTGAATTTGAACATCCTAAAGATGAACTTGTAAGTTGTATTTTCATCTCGAACTCTTATTTCATCGTTGGCATGCCTTGCGGAAGGGTGTCATGTAGGTAACTAAGTAACGTTGCGTGAATTGTTTATAAATTGTGATTTGTACCTAATGGACTTGCATAGAATCAGAATATGGTATGATAACAGTCACTTTTGTAAGATTTGATTCACCAACCTTCTAGCTTGGAATAACCATGAATAATATTATTGTGATTTTGCTGTGACAACTATTTCTAGGCTTAAGAGTACAGAATAGAAAACGAAGTACATGATGGTATTTATGAATTATGCATGAATTTCTGGACATAGTGTTAATACTTCTTTGATAATCTTCGATTGATTATGTTTGCAATATTTTGTCAGTATTGATGCCTGGCCTCCTGTTATTAAATAAAAAATCTCCTCCCCAGGGAAGATTGAATGGTCAAATTAGGGAGCTAAGAGTTCAATCAAATGAAAAGAGGCTTCAGAAGTCTGAGATGGAGAAGCTTTTATGCCAAAGACAATTAAACCTGAGACAGTGTATTGATAGGTGGGATTTAAACTAAGAGCTCTTATTGATTACAAATTGCTTTGAAAATTTGAAAATTTGAATTTCTTTTGCTTATCCCATTGATACTGTTCTTTGTGGCAGGTTGAAGGATATGGAGAATACAAATAATAAACGTCTACATGCTTTAAAAAATTCTGGAGCTGAAAGTATAGTTCAAGCTTATCAATGGTTGCAGCAGCATCGTAATTTGTTAAATAAGGAGGTTTATGGTCCTGTATTGCTTGAGGTATGCATCTTATAGTTCAGATTGTTGTGTTTGTTAGATGTTGTTTTGCCATCTTTGTAATTTTTGAGTGCAAACTCAGGTGAATGTCTCAGATCAGATGCATGCTAACTACTTAGAGGGCCATGTTCCTTTCTACATCTGGAAGGTATGCTCATTCGTTATTTTTTATTTTTTTTTTTGTATTTATTTGCTTTGGGAATTCTATATCTTTTCCCCAGTCAGTGATACAAAAATTGGAATGCTTCTTGTTTCTGTTGATTTTGAGTTTATTTATGTCCTAGCTGAGGATGAGGAATCTCATTGCCAGTCTAACCTGAATTCACTAGTTGTTGTATGGTTGTGTTCAACGTTTGTTACATATTGCTTGCAAACCTTTGTGACCTAGAGCCCTTGGCTCTGTGGTGAGATGTTGTGGTAGAAGAAATTTGGTGGGTCAATAATATGAAATGGACTAAGAATTTTTTTCCCTCAAAAAAATTATCACAAGTGAAAATGAGTAACACAATTAAGGAGCCTATGGTGCATAAATAGGCTAAAAGTAGGCCATGTTGGCATGAGATGAACTTGAGTCTTTCATGTTTCATCAGTTTTCTTCTTTTTGCAGTCATTCATCACTCAAGATGATGGAGATCGAGATTTTGTGGCCAAAAACCTAAAGCCATTTGAAGTTCCTGTTTTAAATTATGTAAGGGATGGAAATGGTGTCAAATCACGCCCTGAAGTTTCTGAGGAGGTATCTGTTGCTGAGGCCTCCATTTAGCGTTTTCCTGTGTTGAAGAGCAATTAACTTATCTTCTTTCATTTTTTTCCATTGAGCAGATGCGTGTTCTTGGGATCTATACCCGACTTGATCAAGTTTTTGATGCTCCTGATGTTGTAAAGGAGGTTTTGACATCACAGTTTGGACTGGAGAAATCAGTATGTTTCCTCAGCTTCCTTAGTATCTACTTGATTCCTCTGAATATAGTAGGTGTTTCTTCTGTTAAAATCCAGCCTTTGGCAGCTGATCTTACTTTTCTCATTCATGGTCTTCCCTCAGTATATTGGAACAAAGGAAACTGATAAGAAGGCTGATGATGTTAAAGAGCTTGGAATTTCTGATCTTTGGACTCCAGAAAACCACTATCGGTGGGTTTGCTCCAGATATGATAATCATGTTTCAGCCAGGGTAGAGGCTGTGGATCGTTCCCGTCTTTTATTTGGTGGTATGTTCTGAACCCCTTTCTGGATTTACATGTAACCCATAAGCTTGTGTTTATCTAAGCTGCCATTCTTTTGAAAGGTTTGGATGGTGGAGAAATTGAAAAACTGAGGTCCAGGACGAGTGAGCTTGAAAAGTCTATCACTGACATACAGCAAGAGTTGAAATCACTACAGACTGAGCAAAGAATTCTAGAAGATGAGGCAGCTCAACTTCAAAAACAGCAGGTATGGTAAAAGAACATAGATTTTTCTCTCTTTTTTTTTTTTTTTTTTTAGGTGCAAAAGTTTTCAATTTTTATTTTTATTTTTTTTTAGAATCAATCTGTTATGCACCTGGCCTAGAAGGCCAATCGGCTATATGCCTTAAGAAAGGTGCACCCCCCAGCCTTAGTTGCTGGGTTCAAATCCTCCCTCCCCCAAATTTGTACCTGTTCCAAAAAAAAAAAAAAAGGTTTTGTGCTGATAACTAATTATATTTTAAGTTTGTTTTCTTTATGCTAATCCATTCCATGCAACTAACTCAAGAACCTTGAACCCAAAAAAAAGAGAGGAAAGAGTTGTTTTATGGAACTTATTTGTTCTGTCTAAATAACTAATATTTTCTGTAGGAGGAGATTGTCAACACTGTGAGAAATGAGAAGCGAAAACGCCAAGAACTGGAAAATCGCATTGGTGAGTACTATTGTGTCATTGGTAGATACAGGACATTTCCCATCCCTTGGCATTTATTTTTAAGAGGTAATGCAATGGTGATTTTAGAGCAAAGGAAAAGGAAAGTGGAATCTTTGGAGAAGGATGATGATATGGACACTGTTATGGCCAAGCTTGTTGACCAAGTTTCAAGACATAACACTAATCGATTTGATGATATGATCAAAATTAAGGTGCCCTCACTTTTTTTTACTCAGGTGTTATATTGTTTTTTTTCTAAAAGACGGTTTGCTGGAAACTCTCTCAGAATCATTTTTGAAGTGGATTTTTTGGTATGTTAAGGCAAATCAGGAAATTCCTTAAATTTGTTCTTTTTTTCCAGTCTCCTATCATCACCTTTCTTCCTGACAGGATTTACTTGTTGATGCGGTTTCCTTAAAATGGAATCTTGCTGAAAAGAATTTGGCCTCCATTGAATACGATGCAAAGGTACCATGTCATATGATTGGATACCATGTCACATTCATGAATCATGGTCATCTTTTATTTGCTGTCATGAATCATGGTTTTCTACAACTGGAGTTTGTCACTGAATTTTCGCAATCAACTTTGCTACCTTGTGCTTTTGTTCAGTGGACTCTTTGAATGTTTCAACTATTATCTTGTCAATAGGTTGAAAGGATATTGTAATATAATATGGATAAATTAGATACTCTACAAAACAGAACTTGTTTATATTTTTATCTCTTTACAAATTATTTTATATCCTTTTTCATTTTTGTTGGAATAATTTAGCATTTTGTCAGCATTTTTTTTGTACTTTTAAACTAGCTTATTCATCAATTCCTGGTTTTTGTCGGTTTGATAATGTTTTAGATTAGAGAACTGGAAGCCAATCTCAAGCATCAGGAGAAGTTTGCTCAACAGGCATTGCAGCAATTCGAGTATTGTAAGTTAGTAGTTCTTTAAATATAATTTCTTTGGGAAAAGTATTTAAATATAATTTCATATTCATCTTTCGGCGGAATCATGGAAGTTAGTCTAACTGAAAAAGTATACATTAAAGAGTTGCTTATCAAAATCATATTTATATGTAGAGATAGAGTAAGGATCCACTTATAGACTACTCTTACACACATCACTTAACATAAATCTTAACCATTCATCTCTACACTATAAATAGTTGAGATTTATCTACTTTTTATCCTATTTTTTGGAGATAATTGTTTTTTTCATCTAAGAAGTTGTGATAAATCTCAACCATTTATAGAAAAGAGATGAATGGTCAAGATTTTGTGCAAGTGATGTATGTAAAAGTTGTGTGTAAGTGGATCCTCACTTTTATATATATAGTAAGGAGCATTACACGACTCTTACACACAACATTGACTGTTAGCAATGGCTATGATTCTCTGCAAGATTTGTGTGTAACATGATCCTATCTTACACACATATATATCCATTATATTCAAGTATCATCTATGGTATTTTATCTTGCAAAATGTTGTTCTTTACTGACTTCTCCAGCTTTCCTCGTGATAAGGTAAAAAAGAGGTAGAGGATTGTCGACAACAATTGTCTGCTGCCAAGACGTCTGCTGAATCAATTGCTGTCATTACTCCTGAACTTGAGAAGGCATTTCTTGAGGTTCGAAAGCTGACAGTTTTTTTTGTTTTTTAGAAAGCTGAGAATTTTATTTCACCATGAATTTATTACTAAGATACTTTTCATCTTTTAACTTTGGATGTTAAAATATAACCTGATTTTCACTTTTAAGTTACGTATGAACTCAAAATTGTAATTTGGATGCACAAGTTGAAATTCTCTGGATGAATGGAATTCTAGCAGAAATTACCTAGAAAAATATAATGGCAGGGTGGAACTGTTTTGATTTGGTTTACTTAGGAAGAAGTTTAGAGGTCAAACCTAGACCTTCTTCTAGGCCAAACCACAGTTATTGTAAAAACTGAAACAGACTATCAATAATCTAACCTCAGGTAGTTTCCTGTCTGACCAATGTGTGACCTGAGTCAATTTAAAACTTTGACCAGAAAACCATTTTGGAATTGTGGTTCCAAAACTTTTGCTAAAGGAAAAATCATGGTTGCAAACTTGCAATAAGAATGCTTTGGCGCTGATTTCCTTGGGTATGTATTTTCCCATTTAATGGATAGATTTTGCCCCCCCCCCCCTCCTCCCCCCAATAAGTGAATTGTTTGTATGTAAATGCCAAAATTCCTTTGTACTGGCTATAGAATATTCCCTGCTGAGGACGTGCTTGTTATAAATGAATTCCACTAAAGTGTGGAATTCATTTCTAATTAAACGTTTTTATGTTTGGTATGATCAAAAACTTTTCATTTCAATTCCATGATTTCATTTCTACACCATTATGTTTGGCTTGATTAAAATTTTGTGGAATTCATTTACAACTCTACATCCCTTTGTGCTTGGTTTGTTTAAAAAGTGTGGAATTCAATTCCAAACTTCTAAATCATGAAATTGGTTAAGACTAATTCAATTCTCATCAATTTTGATGGGATTTGGAAATGAACTTCTCACTTTTTAATGACTCAAGAATTTATATTACTAAAATACCTCTCAAATTAAAACTTTATCACTCTGCTTCACAAATAGTAAGGGTATTCTTTGAAAATTTGAATATTAAACTCATTCTATATTTATTTCAAACATAATCTTTTTGAAATTCAATTGAATTCTCTAATTTCACAAATTATTCCAAACATAAGAATTCACTTGTAAATGAGTTCTCTAGTGAATTCATTTTTTTAAATGACATGAATTCTATTTTCATTTAAACCACACATACTAAAAAATTTTACATGAGAATTTATTTTTAAATGAATTCACTTACAAATTCATTTGGAGTTGAAATGAATTCTAATTATTTCCATACCAAATACATCCTTAGGTTATTTGAGATTTTATACTTTTGCTGGATCAATATTGAGACGTTCTGACTCTCTGTGCCCATTCATGATGGTGTAGAGCTTCTAGGTTGTTAAGATTTTTTATCATTTCAACTTGAATCATTAACTGCATTTCTTTAAATTCATTTATGCTCTGAAGATGCCAACTACAATTGAGGAACTGGAGGCTGCTATTGAAGATAATATTTCGCAAGCGAACTCTATTCTTTTCCTAAACCAGAACATACTGCAGGAATATGAACATCGTCAACATCAGGTATTCTCATGCTGTCCTTTATATTTTTGTTCTGGTAGTTTGTATGAAGCCTCATGGTTATGCATTTGGTAACAGATAGAAGACATTTCCACAAAGCTAGAAGCAGATAAAAAGGAACTGGAGAGGTGCTTGGCTGAAATAAATGCCTTAAAGGTAAGAGAGATTATACTTTCTGTAAACTGTTCCAGAGGTTTCTTTTATTTATTTTTTATTTTCCTCAATAGGAGTTGCTATGTAGTTACATTTTGAATAGCTAATATGATTTCCACTTGTTTTGGGAGATGATCTGACCTAAGTAACCAATTTGTGGAGTGAAACAAGAGCAAGAGTGGGAGAGTGAGATTTTTATGTTTGTACTGTAGAGGGAGGGAGAGCGTGTGTATTATATTATATTTATATATTTTTACTTATAAGTTCAATAATTAATTGCTTGCATATTTTTATAACGTTAAAAGTAATTTAAATGTATTTGAAAAAAGCAAACAAAGCCAACTATAAGATAACTATATAATTAAGACCTTCGTTAATAAATAATAAATACAATATGAGAGAAAAAATGATAGAAAAAATAACTTGAATATTAGACAAGAAACAACTAGTTTCTCTGTTTTTTGTTTATTATTATTATTTTTTTCTTTTTCTTTTTAACTATTGAACCACCTAAAAGGTGATCTTATCCATTTGTTTACCTAATCTCTTGTTTTCATATTGACAATAAAACCCTTTCTTTTCTCCAAATATAAGGATTTCTCATGTTATTTAGCTTGTGGAAATTTATTTGTTTTTGTGATGAGGTGTAATATAGATGTTTAGACTGAGAATGGAGAGAGGAAGGCTTTAGGAAGTAAATGACACCTTGTCTAAATTTGTGCTCTCAATACCCGAAGTGCATGTTTTTGGCAAATTCACTTCCAATTCATGAATCCACAAATTGAGAGTGGGCTATAGGATGACAGAAGGCATTGTCTTTGTTTACCTAAGGATACTTGTCTAAAATAGGATCTGGCCTTTGTGAGGCCTAAAACAGTGACATGCACAATTGGTCATTTGTTTGCTGAAGGAGACTTGTCTTCCTATCACACATCTCACTTCCTCTTTCCTGCTCTCCCCCCCTCCCCGAACCCCACTTTTTTTCTCCTCCATTGTCTTCCAAATATCTTATACGCAATGAATTCTTTACCTTATTATTTCTGTGTGTGTATTGGAACTTCTGCAATGCTAATTTGAACATTTTCGAGTTGATTTTTCTCTTAACAAATTCATTAACCCATACTCTCTTGTTGTCATATATTTATTTAACTTGATTAGTATTCTAAACAGAATGTCTTCTGTTACATGCAGGAAAGTTGGCTTCCAACATTGAGAAACCTTGTTGCTCAGATAAATGAAACTTTCAGTCGAAAATTCCAAGAGATGGCTGTTGCAGGAGAAGTTTTGTTGGGTACCACTATTGCCACTCTCTGACTTACCATTGGTTCATTTGTGGGTTACTGTTTCAGTTAAGGTTTTCTTTTCAGATGAACGTGGAACTGATTTTGATCAATTTGGAATCCTTATTAAAGTAAAGTTCAGGTAATTTAGCAACCTCACCCAGCACCAGTTTGAGGTTTTAACAATTTTAGAATTTGACTGTTTTTATCCTTGTGAAGTTTCTTAGATATCTTATTAAAACATTTTGTTAATACTTGTTTGGTTTCCTATTTGTGTCCATCAGACAATCAGGGCAACTTCAAGTCCTCAGTGCTCATCATCAATCTGGAGGGGTATCATAGAAAGTTAGACTTTTGTATTCAAAGCTTCAAATTGGAAGTATTTTCTCACTGCATCCTTAATTTCTATTTTCCAGGAAAGATCTGTTTCAACCATTCTTTATCTTGTTTCTCTTCAAGATCTCACAAATTGCCCCTTTAGAGTGGTTGATGAGATTAATCAAGGTAAGTCACCAATGTTGCCATTTGATGTAGGGGAAGGAATTCAAAGTGGAATGGGTTTTGTGGGTGATTAGTTTACCTTTTCTACCTCCCCAGGAATGGACCCTATAAACGAAAGAAAGATGTTTCAGCAATTAGTGAGAGCTGCGAGTCAGCCTAACACACCACAGTAAGTATTTACACATCAATGTTTCTTGGTCATTTTGGTGATGTAGGAAACTTTCCCCTTTATTAGACCATTTACTGTGAACATCTCATGAGACTATTTCCTAGTTTACCTTTATCCCAACATGTGAAGTCAACTTCTTTGATCATGTAGAAGCTAAATTTGTTTCTCATGTAATTTATTTGTTGAAATGAGATGGTGGCTTGAAGTCATTTCCAAATCTTGCAGGTGTTTTTTACTTACCCCAAAGTTGCTACCCAATCTAGAATACAGTGAGGCTTGCAGCATTCTTAATATAATGAATGGGCCTTGGATTGAGCAGGCTTCTAAAGGTATAATGGCGCACAAAAACCATTTTTGGTAGGATTAAAGTTTGTATATAATCTTTGTTCATTGCCAAGATTTATTTTCTATTACTTCAGTATGGAGCTTCGGGGAGAGCTGGGGAATTGTTGCAGGCTTGGCAAGATAAAGTAGATGCTGGAACCTGAAGTATCATCTTTCCAGGAGTGAGCATGTTCCATCCCTACAATGAATCTTTGTAGATGCTTGAAATCTTCTCACAACTTGAGATATGGTGTACTCGAAACTTCTATGACTTCAACTTATATTATGCCTGGTCCCTCTCCCCCCCCCCCTGCCTCCTTTTTTGCATTTCACATCGCAAACATCACCAGGTTTCTTTACATCCACAACGTCTTAAAATCAGAAAATTCCACCATGTTAGCATGATTGCAATCGGGATTACATTATATTATGCAGGTAAGTGTTTTGCTTTCTTAACCTGATTGCTTCTATCTAACAGATAATTAAGTCAAATTGTTAGTTACTTGAGGGAGACGAATATTTGTTAGCTCAGGGATAAATTTCAAGGAATATTTTTTTAGTTTCAGCTGACGTCTTTTTTATGCAACTGGTGTGTCATTTTTAGCTGCTAGCATTTTCCAATGCATAGAAACATGAATATGACCTTCTGCTTTTTGCATAATATAAAGAGTTTGAAAATTTCAGAACAGGTGTGTCATAAAACTTTCGAGTCCAATGACCCCAAGGATATTTTTATCTAGATGGAATACCACCTCCTATTTTTTATTGGCCATCGATTGCCACCTACCATTTGAAATTTAATTTGTTTCAGAAGGAATACCGCCACTCTCAGAACTTTGTCTAGCAACTCCTTAAGAAACAACTGTTTTTATAATTAATGTAATACTACTGTGGAAAAAAAGTTCATTTTTCTTTCTTTAATATGTCAAACTTTACTGAAATAAAAGAATTTTGCTTCAAAATCAGGGAAAGCATTGACTGAAGATTTTGCTTTGATTTCTGCTGCTTACATGTTGTTGGTTAATGGTAACACATCGTAGATGGGGCTAGGATAAATAGGCTAGGTGTGTGAATGTGGAAAGAGAAATTTCTCCATTACTTTATTTGTTGTTGAGGGCAAGAATGGGTTAAAATGTCAAATTCATACTTTATTTGTTACGACTAGTGCTGGCACCAAACAAAGCTGGATGTTTCCTCTACGGTTGGTAACTAATTTCCTCCATCAGATAGCGATCAAAGTTTGTTTTCGTATTTCAGACTCTAACGTAAAAATAATGAGGAAGCTCACAATATTAAGGGGTTTATTTACTTTTTATTTAATAATTTGAGTTGTGTAATTTGAATTGCAGGATATTTTTTTCTTGTTTTAAAAATCCTTTACTTATCCAAATTAGCTATTTTGTATTTTGTTTGTTTTTTTTTTTATTTGTACACATTAAGGTCCTTGATTTTTATAATAATTGCATAACATTTTCTTAATGCACAGGGTATTGCAAAAGCTTATAAATGAGCCCTCAAACTTAAATTGTATTTGCTTTTCTTTTTCTTTTTTTTTTTGGTTTTTATTCGTTATATAAACTAGTAATTTAACTGTATTGCATTAGTAATGGATAAATATCTAAGAGGAAGTTGACCTTAGAGGAATTTTCTAGAACCGAAGGAAATAATGCTAACAAGACTCGATGGTGCACAAAGCAAACAATCCAAACCAAACACGAGAGAATGTGCTTAAAAAGGTTTTGTAAATACAATAAAACCCAAATCACAAAGAAATGTTATGACTTCTTGGGCATGGTTATTGTTGCATAGTGTTTTGTTAAGGGCACATAATCTTTTGTTGGATTGTTAAAAATAATTTATAATTATAATTGTTAGTTGATAAAATTATTAATATTTATTATTTAATATAATAAAATTAATTTTTAAATTGATTTTTTTAAACATTACAATTATTTATTTATTATAAAATAGATATAAATAAATAAAATCAGTTAAATTAAATACATTTTTTACATTAGTTGTGTAGTTTTAACAAAATGTCGTGTGTTAACAATGTAAAAAATTTCAGTGGTTATTTTTTCTCATTAGAAGTAAGATTTTAATTTCGAATCATATAACATACGGGTGGAATGAGATAAAAGATGTGAGATGGTTGTCTCTTATTGTGTAATTAAGATAAAAATTAAAAAAAAAAAAAAAAACCACACACACATACACGACACAAAACAAAACAAAATGTCGTGTAATGATAACCAAGCCCCAGCGCGCCGATGTGACTCCAACCATTTTCGGTGCCTTAATTTGTAACAGGGCATTCTATGAGGAGACCGTGGTGAAATCTCTTGGTGTCAGTACAATAGTTGTAAATCGTGTGGTTCTTCTGCACCCATCGAAGCTTCTCTTAGCCTGCGGCATTCAGCTTCTGCGAGAGCGAGGCGTTTCTGGAACCGCAAGATGATCTTCTGGATGCCCTAACACAAGCATTGGCATGGTTAAAGTTCCTGTGTGATGCGGTGAAAGGAGCTTGGCTCCAATATCCCTTCACCAAACCGCCTCTCGTAGCCCAGTTATCAGCGTCCCACAAACTGGAATAGACCCTCGTTGGCTGGCTTTTAGGAAACGGAACACCAATACACTCCAAGTTCTTGAACTCTCTAATGAGCGTGCCATCAACATAGAAGCTGCAATTTATTCAGAGAGCGCAGCAAATCAGTCCGAACTGACTAATTTTAATGTCAATTCTTAGCGATCACTGGACATCGGAACCTACATAATGTTTTGGGGGTTCCACAGTATGGCGTAGGAGTGAAAATTTGCTGTGGGGTCAAACCAGGGATAGAATTGTTGCTCTCTGTTGCCCCTGCCTTGACTATACGCATTAGTATGAAGTATGTAAGGGTCTCCACTCAGATTTCCCAAGAGCTTAACGTCCATTTCATCCCACGTCGAGCCTTTTGATGATAACTGCAATATTAATTAACAAAATAGAAGGATTCAAATTTTAGCCACAGGATGTAACGTTCAAATCTAGTCTTGACATATATAGTGTTAAGAGAAAACCAATAAGAGTTTAACTGAATTAATATTTAATAATTTAAAAACTTTTGTTTGAAATCAATATCAAAAATTTAAATTTTTATATTGTCAAACAGTTAACTTTTTAATATATAAAAAGTAATAATGATAACATTAAAATAAAGATTATTAAACTTTCGAGTTCAAAGTCCTAAATTGTTTTATCTTTGAATCTACTGTATATAATTTATGTTGGTTTTTTTTTTTTTTTTGAACATATAATTTATGTTGGTTTAATTAGCTACAAGTTGTAGTTTAGTTTGATAAAGTGAGAATGGTATGGTGACGTACATGGTAGGCCGAGACGGTGCCAGCAGAGTTACCGGCGATAAGCTTGAGCTGCAAATCAATCTTCCCAAACAAATACTCGTGCTTGGACTGAATGCTAGAACCCGAGGCTCTGTCAAGTGAAAGGCTGGGAAGGCTACCGTCAGGTGATAACAAAGTCTTGATAAAAATTCCCGGTAGAAGCAACCAATATTACAACCAATATAGACACCAGGAAAACATTTGAGGTCAAAGAACCAGCGGCCATGTGTTTTGCTATTTTTTTTTTTTTTTCCCCTTTTCTTTTGGTGATTGATTACTTGCTGTGGAGAGAGTTGCACGGCATGGTATATATAGGGATTGAGAGTGGAGAAATTGAACCATCAACTATGTGATTTGCTGGTATACAGTTATCCATACTTTTAATTCTAGGTTTATGATTCAATCCATAATGTTTACTTGTTAAAATAAAAAAGTGGAGAAACTGAAGAGGGTTTGCATTAAAGTCCAGAGTTGTAAACAGCTGGATAGCAGGAAGGAGCAGAGAGATAGGAGGGTTTTCCATGCAATTCGATCTTTGTTTCTATAGTTGCAATGAACTCTAAATTGTTTCCTCGTCCAGATCTTCTCTTCAGTTGACCTATAAAGTCTTGAAGTTGATCCTGTTAAGAGAACTAATATTTGTGGCGTCAAAACCAAAATTAGTCCTATACCTATCTCATCCCTTGTCCTGCGCTCGAGATGAACGCCGGTTGAAAATTTGGTTTAATAATGCCAGCGTTCTTGTAATTTGTTGTTTATAAAGTTAATTTCGTATTATAGTATATGAGAGTACAAAACATAATCCACTCTGAAAAATCTCAATCCACCATCATCCTATTATTC